AAGTTTAAACTCTCGTGTAGGCCAGGGAAAATGTTCTCCATCCATTCTTATAATGTTAACTACAAAACACATTATTTTGTGTTTCCTTAAAAAAGACTAATATCCACCGAGCATTTGCATTCAGTGCATTTCTCACACTGTGGCAAACCGTTTGTCACCAGCAGCTATATCGCAGCTCCCTGCGATGTATTACATTTGTTTTTCCGGGGAGGATTCCGCCGTGAATGCTGCATTAGTTTTCTGCAGGAACACCAGGAATCTTCTCTGACAACTGTGACACCAGCTGATAAATATAGCACACAAATATATCCGTAAGTAATAACGACTATAGGCTATTCATCAAAATCCATCGTTTAATGTTTCTCCAAATCCATCTTCTTCTCACGCAGACAACAGTAAATAGAGTTAAATAAGGATATATACAATGGTTTTAGCATAAATCACCTTTATACTTGGCAGATTACATGTGATGAAGATGCAAGTACAAGATGTAAGACTATAAAGAAGATACAGAGATCACGTAAAAGTGGCGATCACCAAGAACAAACTACTGTTGGTACAGTTTCACACTGCTGGGTTGTTTTTATTAGAAGAACAAAGAGTCTTATAAGAAAAGAAGAAAAAAATGTGTCTTCTTCTAAGAGTGACATTCAGTATGAATTAGAAATAAATGGAAAAAGTAGAACACTTTCAAAAGACACCTTTTGAAACCTAGTCGTATTTGTGAAATTGCTTTTTCCTTTTTAGTATATTCAAAGCAAACAAGCTGATGTCCTTTTATTTTTATACTTCTATTTTAAAATTCCACTCAGAGTACAGCCGGAGAAATATAGGCGGAAACTTGAAATAATACACAGAGACGGCTGTGGAGGAAATCCCAGGAAACCGTGTTTGCACATGAATAGTTATTGTTTGCTAAGTCTATTCGAGCATGTATATGTAAATATATGGAGCTGCTTTTGATATTCATGAGTATGTCGTGTTTTGATTAGAGCACAGAAATCAGAGCAGAGCAGCAAATGAACGCTGAGAAGACAAAAGACTACAAACACCTGCTCGTTTAAGAAAATGAGCAAAGCCTGTACGTCTGACTGTACACCTTAGCTGTAAAGGGAATAAAGAAGAGGATGAAGAGGAGTTCCATTCATTGAAAATATAGTCTAATGTGTTTAAAGTCATGCTGAGTCAAGAGGATTCATATTTTATATGAAAAAAAAAACAACTCTAAGGAGATAAAGCCACGGTGTGCTGCTAGGGTGGAAGAAGAAACTCTGACAGGTTACGTATCTATTATTTTTGTCAAAAAGAAATATTTTGGACTCACATATGTTATGTAACTGAATGTGAATAAATCTGACAGCAATGCTTATGTGCAAAACCAATGTCGTGTTTGTTTAGTTCATTGTACTGATGCTACAGCTGCTGGGGCCAGCATGTATAAAAGCAGCTCTTAACTCTTAACAAAAGGCTTTCAGTGAAAGAAAAGCAGCCCAATAACAAAATCATGAAATGTATACATTTTTCAAGAAAAGACTGAATAAAATTCAGGAGTTCCAGTCGGGATAAAGAAGACAGAACTTACTGTAAGGACATCCGTAGGTTTCCAGTCGCAGTCCGATCCGTCCGCTGGGATTCCAGTCCAGAGGAATGAGGCGGAGAAAACGTGCAATCGCTGGTTGTTGCAGCTTGTATTGAACCACACTGTCTGCATTGCTGTTACCTGGAAATGACTA